TATCATTCAGACCAGAAAAATTACAATTCAAAGTGTATTCCAAAAGCTATAATTGAGCTCATTAAGCCAATTTTTTCTTACAAAGATCTTGGCAGTGATGAATTGCTCAAGAAATGTTTACATGGCCAAACTCAAAATGTCAATGAATCGCTAAATGGGATGGTTTGGGCTCGCGCACCCAAGAGAGTACATGTGGAAAAAACAGTTGTTGAGATTGCTTTGGCCTCTGCAATAATTAGCTTCAATAATGGAGTTCAGGGTTTACTACCAGTGTTTGAAAAATGTAATGTTGTGCCTGGATATTTTACAACAAAAAGTTCTCTAAATGTAGATTATGTTCGCGTTAAGCAGAATGAGATAAAAAGTACAGGTGCTACAAAAAACAGGAGGAAAAAGCTAAGAGCTATTAAAAAAGGCTTTATTGACCAACATAACGAAGCAGAAGCTGTTACATACAACAGTGGTGGTTTTTAGTAGGTTTTATTGTGTAAAAAACTTTAATATTTTTTTAAATTGTGTTTTTCAAGCGATTCACTTTTTGTGTATCTTTTAATTTTTTAACAAAGATAACTTTTTAACCGCTCATTGGAATTCTTTCAAATTTTCAGCAATTATTCTTGAGTGTATTTGTGATGTGCTGAACCAAAGAAAATTATTTTTTTTTATGTTAAAGTATTAAAATTTGAGCTTTAGCAAGCTGTACTTATACTTTTTTTTTTTATTGATAGAATTTAATGATTTTAAAGTTATTAAATGTTGTTTATTGTATAATTTTTAATTCAGCACATTTTTTGAACATATATAAAACTACTTATTAAGTTTGGTTTGTAGAACTTATATGGTTCTCAAGATATTCTTGTTAAAAAAAGGTCAATTTTTTTGCCTAAATTTTGCTAATTTATGCGCATAATTATTGAGCAGAGGGGTAAAAAAAATTAATTTTGTTATTTTTTGAAATGATTTAATCTAACACTTCAGAAAAACATAAATGCTCCCATATAATATCAAATTTTAATTTTTTTTTCTCTTAAAGGGTACTACCACCTTAAAATATAATGTTTTGGTTCGCAAAGTTTGCATTTTACCGGTTCGCAGTTTGCAATTTACCAACAACCGAGAAATAGTGCCTAACTTAACATTTTCATGGAAAATGAAGTATTTTATAAACCTATTTTATGTAAATAAAAAAAACTATTTTATTGATAATTTTTAAATATAAAAAAAAAATAGTTTTGGGGGGATATTTTCGGGGAGAATTTTTTCTCGGGGGAAATTTTTCTTGGGGTATTTTATCCTGGGGGATTTTTCTCGGATAACTATTGCAGGGGATTTTTCCTCATGGGGGTTTTATCTAGGGGATATTTTGTCAGGGGCATTTTATCCAGCGGGATTTTTTTTCAGGTGGATTTTTCTCAGGGGACAATAGGGGAGAATTTTTTCTTGGGGAAGGGGGGGGATTCCGGAGGAACTTTTTCTCGGGGACATTTTTTCTCTTTGACGATTGTTTCAAGGCGGTATACGGGAAAAGGACAACCGGTGACAAAGGGGAAGAATGGGTCAAAAATTAGCTAAAAAATGATGACCTTCTTTTTAGATAGCCCCGAAACTATTTATTTATTACTATTGTTATAAGTACATCTTATCCGTGAAAATTGAAAATATTGTTATAAATATTTCTTAAACGTGAAAATGATATATCTCTACCAGTTTTATATACTTTAATGCATTTGTATTCAACTCAATAAAAATTTATAAAAACATGTAAGATAAATGCAAAAGAGAACTTGACGCATAAAGGTTTACTTTGCCATAAACTCACATCAATGTCCAAAATCATTTTGGCTAAGCTTTTAGATGAGCGTTTAATATTATTCTTTTAGTTCTTAATCATAAAAATCGATTTCTTTTTATGAATTTGGTTTATGGCTTTTAGATTTTCTTAGATTCATTTGTATAGCGTTACTTTCAAATTTATGTAAAAGTAAACATCTTTAAGTTAAGTTTGCTGGCATTTTATAAAATAACCGCGTATATTTATATCCCAGTGAAAAAGCGCACATGGATTACGCGTTGGTTTTTTCCATATGTAATCCATGTGGGGATTTTTATTTTGTCCCATGTGGGTTCCATATTGTAAATCCCACATAGGTTCTATATGGTAAATTCCACATGGGTTCCATATGGTAAATCCCACATGGGTTTCATATAGTAATTCCCACATGGGATACGCGAGGGTTTTTTCCATATGTAACCCATGTGGGGATTATTATTTTGTCAAATGTATTTTTATTTTTTTTTTGTAATTTTTACATTCATGTTTCCACACTTGCGTGGTTTGGATTGTTCTCGATAGAGACATATAAATGCTGTTATGAAAGAGTTAAAGCAATGTTTTTCAACCGGACGCCCTTCCTGACGTTAACATGCAGCAAGTTGTACTAGATTACATGTTACCAGTAGCAAGATAACATGACCTGATGGTCAGCGTATTTGGGTTATA